TAGGCCAGGCTAGGGCTTTTAAAAAGCTTGACAGGGAGGTTGGTGAGGACAAAGTTGCTCTGGATCCCAGCTCAGAAGAGTAGAGATAGATTAGAGGAGGTGGACTAGGGTGGTATACTCAACCACTGCTCCCCTCTGTCTGAGGCTAAGGGGAAGCACTTCAGCCAAATTAGGCCCCAGTGTGTAAGGACTGACGTCTGAAATCCTACACAGCCATCTAAATATTTACATCCTGTAGACATGTTGGAAGGGAGACTGATAATTTCTTTTTGTCTGACAATATTTGCCCCAGGATAAACTGGGACAATTTTCATCCCACCATTCTTCTGAGGAGCTCCAAGGAGAATATGTGGTTTTCCCCTCTTCCATTTTATCCTAACAGCAACCCCATTGAGAGAATGTCTGGCCCATGATTACCCAACAAATTTCGTGGTTGAGTAGGGATATGGATCCACCTCTTCCAAACCTAATCACTTTACAGGTTAGGGAAACCAGAAAAAATCATGTAAATTAATAAAAATTGTGGGAATGGACAGAAATGAGAAATATCCCTTACTTGATTGGTAGAATAAAGCTCCATTACCAATCTGGGGGTCTTTCCTGGCAAATCAATAACCTTGGGGCAGAATTCCAATGATTTTTAAATCTTAGAATACAGAGTCTAGGCAAACATCCCTTACATGGTACAGTTTGGCCTTCCCCCCCCCCCGATTATGAAGACATTTTCAGACTATGTACCATGTATTAAGCGACATTAGCATCACAAAGAAATATTTGGTTGATGAAAATGTAACAACAAAACTTGAGGAGTAGAGGCAAAGAGTAACCACAACCGCCTCAGGTGACATGTTCAATGAAAACCAGTTCCACACATTTTTTTTAAAAAGACGATCAAAGTTTATAAAAGATTTGATACCTACCTTTTAATCCTAATCTACCTTTGCTCAGGGTTTCAGGTATAGTTCTCATCTCCACAGCAGCCTCACAACAACCTTGTGAGGTAGATTAGCTTGAGTGTGATTGGCCCAAAAGTCATCCTGCGAGCTTCATGACTGAGCAGGGATTTGAGCCAAGCCCTCATCTGAACCACATGGTGATATTTTACATGAGGCAGGCTGGCTTTATGTTCACGTTAACAAGTTGCAACACTGCATGTATAATGTTGTTGGTCAACTCTCTCAAAGGTCTGGTCTTGAGATCGGGGAAGAATGAGGTCAGCTGGCAGAGACCGCTCTGGCAGCTTCAATAGTAAATTTGGGGTTGCCCCCCCCCCCCCCCGTGCACAGAGCAACCAAGTATATTGGTAAATGTTAAATGCAACACTGTATATTGGTAAATGTTAAATGCAAAGATAGAAACTGGTTTACTGTGAACTGATGTGAAATTCCTGCATTTCAGACTGAAGAGGGGGAAAGTAGCACGGAGGCTTTACAAGTGGGCCCTTAAAGGCCAAGTAAGTTTAGAAGTGTGTTCTGCTTCAAGAAATATGAGAACCGCTATCATAACCACAATGGAATGGAATACAAGAGCGCGCACCCACATTCTTTAGCTCAGGTCCCTACTGGCTAATATCAGCAATAGTCAAACAAGGCAAGGCGGCCATATTAAAGCTTTTGATGCCAAAAGCCTTCCAGTGTTGTGATACACTTTTTGTACTCAGTAAGCCACAAGACAATTATGCCATGCTGCCCAGAGGAAAGTCAAATTACAGTTGCTCCATCTGTTGCATATAGTGATGAAACTCTGAATTAAGCCAGGCATCATTGCAGAATCAGAAGGAAACTGCTCATCAAGCAATGACTGTGGGTTGGTATGAGAATTAGTCTCCCGCAAACCATGTCAACATAAGGGTGTTTTTCATTCTAGGAAGGAAATCCAGGCCAGGTGACCCTAGCAGAAGCCACAGCACTTATGCACATGGATTCTAATGGGATTTAGGCATGTGGGCACAGGAAGTAGGAGGGAGCTAATTCTACCCTTTGTTGGGAAGCAGGGAGGCAGAAGCAGACAAAGCTCTATAGAACTGGAGGTGGGGTGCTGTTTTGGCCAGTGGTGATGTTAGGGCTGGACTTTAAGGCAAAGTTCAGGTCCTGGGTCCTCACTGTAGCCCTCTCAACAAGCTTCACATTTGAAATATACAGTAATAACAAAAAAGGAGAGCATAAAATTCCCTACTTGCATCACTGGCAAAGCTCCCCTAGGAGCAGGAAGAACTCTTTAAAAAAAAGAAAAGAAGACATTTTGTGTTCTGCTGTACGTCATTGGGGGGGAAAGGATCTGAAAGCCAGTGTTTGTATATGAGGCAGAAAAGAAGCTGTAGCTCACCTAGGATCAGCAGAAAGAAGTGGGTGGCAGAGGAAGGGTAGCACATCTCATGTTTCATATGATTTAACATGAATAGAGAATTAAAAATATGTGTGTCCCACCCTCCCTTTTAGGCTCCACCTCCTTCCTTCCCCAACATCACTATGCAGGTTAACACAGAAATAAACCCCTCAGTTCCAAGGAGTTTACTCAAGGTGTCTAGGACACGGAGCAGTGTTATAGGGAGAAAGACCACTGGCACGTGTAGCTCAGGACTATGCTGAAAGTGAGCCTTAATCACCAATTGTTCCCAGTCTTACTCCTTAAGTCTATTTTAATGGGAGATGTTAGTGTCTGGACCTCCTTCTTGCAAGGCATGTGCTCCACCATTACAATATGGCTCATCTTCTTACCTGGAAAAACGGACTCTGATCTATAAACTTTTACCCCAGAACTCCCTCTTCTTGGAAAACCTGTAATTCCACTGGAGTTTTAAAATAAAATTGTTTTGGACAGGAATTGTAACTAAGCAGTACACTAGCACTTTCAACAACAAATGCATGCCTTTTATAACAAGGGCAAAAACATTTATGTTTCTGATTTCCTTGTTTTCATGTAAAGCAATCATCTTATATTTGTTTTTACCATAGAAAGTTACTCCAAACCTGAAAATAATTGTCCCCATGGTTCATTCCTATGACTGTAACCATGTACAGTGAGTCCATGCTCCTGTTAACCACAAGGAAGTTTCTATAATTGTTTTCATATTAATATAATACAGGGCCCAGTTAAACTGAGAATTATCTTATTACAGGTAATAGCATGGCAAGGTCAGAATTTCTGGAGGGGCTGCTAGAAAAGAACAGTTGGCTACGGCTTGTGAAGCACAGATGAGAACACCACCAGTCAGCCTGAAGCCACATAACAACTTTCGGGCTCATCTTCAAGTTCAGCTGTATCTGCAACCAAGCCAGCGGAGTTGAAAGACCGCTAATGGTAACTTAACAGTAGTACCAACAACAAACCCTGATCCTATAGTATAACTATACGGTGAAAAACTTCTTCAATACTGTCGCCTATGGCTGTTACAAAATGGGACTGAGGCTCCTTATCAAAGTGTATGAGATACAGTGGCAAGCAATGTTCCCTCTAAGCTGTGGAGTCTTGTGAGCAAAAATTCTCCTTTGTGAGCTACTGGCGTTAAAGTTGTGAGCCAGCGATTTGGCTACTGCATACATTAGTTTGCTCTGGAGCCCTCCTTCCTGAGCTAAGACAAAAAGGTGTGAGCCGGAGGCTAAAAAAACTGAGCTAGCTCACACTCACTCAGCTTAGAGGGAACAGTGGTGGCAAGTTATGCAGGAAGGTAGATAATGTGCAAAGATTATCTACCAGCAACTATGAGATTATCTAACAGTATCTAAAAGCAACTCTCAGTCAAGTAATTAGTCATCAGGCACAACTACAAAGGCATTAGGTATTCCTTGCTGAAGGCCCTGCCTTTCAAACTTCCTTCATCTAACAATGCCCCAGCCAAATTTAGTTGAATAGAATGCACATTGGGTACTTGGTAATCTTGTACCATGTAACAATACCTATTAAAACTGTGTAATAAATAATTTGCGGACATAAGTATCAATGAACTGCAACATTATTAGTACCACCCTAATAATGGACTAATCCGCAATTCGTCTTGAAAATACTAAATTTAGCTACCCCAAAGAAATGGAATAGGACTGGTCTACTGACCATTGATGGGACTTTGCTTGCTAGTTAATAGCACCAGATCTGAGTTCTACGGCATCTTAATCCAAGGTAAGAACCACATTTCCATTGCAAGGCAGAGAATAAGATGCTATGTGCTGTTAAATGACAGAAGCAGTTTCAAATGACTTCTTAGTAGTCCTTGGTGGAACTTTAATTTCTGAACAGTCTAACCTAATGAAATCTGCATACCTTCTCCACTACATCACTAAACTGCATACGTAGGTTTCTCTGCTCTTCTCCTGAGACACACACTCTCTCTCTCTCCTTACCACCCCTATTTTTGATGTTTTAAAAAATTAAACAACTAGTCCAAAGAAGAGTTCTAGGACACTTGGACACTTGCTACCTACCTTGTGGTAGTGTTTTAATACTAACACGAAGGTATTACCACTACTTTTACTTTTGGATCTTTTCTCTAGTGGATCAAAACGCTCACCTGCACTCCTGTCCAACATATGTGGACTGTTTCATCACAAGGGGACAGCTGAGGAAGGATCATTTCAATTTCCCCCCAGAATGGATTTCAGCTTCTGATGCACTAGCTTCTATGCCAATTCCCATTCAATGGGTTAAAGATACCCTACATGAGACCACAAAATGTGCCCATACCCCTCAGTACAGTCAAGAATGATTTAGCTCAACTAGTATGCGATTGCTTTTCAGACATTTAATATCTTGAGAGGTACATTTCTACCTCTAATGTTTAACGATTCATTTGCTAACATTAATGGAAGCCATCTCCAGAAGCACAAGCCAGAGGTTTTGTATTGTCAAAAGACACTTGTTCTATACAAGATACATACGGTCAGTCAACCGAGGAACAACTTATGACATCATTCAAGCTAAATGTATTCAGAAACCCTCCACTCTACTTCAGTCATTTCTGTTGGTTTCCCTTACCGGGGGGGGGGGGGGCAAAGCAGGGGGGGGGGGGGGAGGGAACAGCTTTTAATGACACTAGCATTTTAGAAAGTTTTTATTTAACTATATAAAGAAGTTGCAAAAAACCCCAAGTTGCAGCATATATAAAACACAGTTGACATGCCAGACAATCCATGACGCTAGGGCACTATGTACAAGCTGAGAAATGATGCGATTGGCAACAGAAGCAGGAATGTTGTATTTCATTAATTCTGATCTTTTAATGGATATTTTGGTCTTGTCAGAGATTGGTCTGCATCCTTTCTGTCACTTAAGCCTGTCAGTTTGTTCTCTTTCTCCTTTTTGGTGCTCCTTTTATGCTGCAAAGTTAAAAAGCTCTGCTGATAATTCATTCCATTTCATACAGTATTAAAAACAGACATTTCCCCGGCAGACTGTTACTCTTCTTTCTAGTCCCTCACACCCCAACTTTCAGCTAAACGTTCCAAACTTAGGTGACCTGGTAGCATGTTCTGGCTGAACCTCTGAATTACTATTCAGTCACAATTCAGGTACACATAGCGTGATCTACCAATTTCTAAAAGGAGCTACTAGTATAGTATGGAAAGCAGGATCCACTTCCATTTTGTCTCGTAAAACTTGGATTTTCACTCTGGGCAGACTAATGCCTAGAACCTAAAATGGCTCAGAAGTTTCAGTCAAGTCTGAATATTGCATTTAATTCCTGATCTTAACCGACAGCCAGAATCCTCAATAAAAATAAACATTCACATACAAGCACCCTATGTTTATACAAAACATAGAAGGGATACCTGCCAGAATACTGGCATGATCTTTTTTTGAAATGATGTTTTAATAGTGCAGTAACTTAGGAGGGGGGGACCAAGTCCTAGGACTGCAAATATTGGGGGTCAGGTGAGGGAAGGGATGACAGAAACCCTTCTGTTGTGTTTATCACAGCTAGAAATTGAAGAGCCATGTTTGTTTAATTTTGCAAGGTGATAAAATTTTGGGCAATGCATTTGAAATGCTTCAAGGAATAAGCTAACAAAACTATTTTAAAAAGAATACTTATGTAGGTGTCTACCTAACTCAACACAGTTGAGCATACTCTGCCCTAAATCCCTTGCTGGTGTTCCATAGGAGAAGCAAGAGTACACATGGTTATTTTGCTGGCTCTGGAGACATCCAAGGAGATACAGAGTATTGTAGACACCTGCCCTACTCAGGCTTCTGAGACGTTAGTGGATTTTCAAGCCTTTCTTTGCAGCCACACATGCTCATGGTCTGGTTTTAGAAATGAAAGCCAAGATTTCTCAACCTAAGTTCCCCAATTCTGCACTTAAAGGTGAACCACCCAATCCTGTCTAAGTCTGTTTAATCATTTGTGCAGGCTCATAGATTGTTTTTGGAATCCTGCCAGGATATAGCTCTTGTTTCTGGAAGTGCAGTGCTTTGAAGATAGGAGTGGACTGACACCATTTTCTAATTTTTGACACGTGCAAACACTTTCATTGCTTTACTCAAGCTTGTGCTGAAAATAGACCCAGGGTATTTCTAGCTTTTGACACATTTGCAGCATGCCCTGTACTTGGAATCAATGATAATCAATGATTCAGTTGTGCCAGAGCAACCAACACTTAGCTTTGTTTTTTCCTGAATCTAAAGAAGGGACAGAAAATGGATGGGTTACCTGGAAGAATGGCACACCACTATTGGTATGAATGAACACACTGGTCTCCAAGAAGGATTTTTCACTTGACAGGCTGTCATTGGCGTATCTCGTTTCTTCTTCACCCTCCAAAGGCTCCTGGGAACACACAAGTTACCTGTGCTATCAGTAAAGTCACAGAGATGAGCCACCTTGACCGGAGTATCACAGGATTACACTTCTTACACAGTGAGTTAGCTGTACTGCCTGTCACTGGTGCTGACAAGTAATGCAGCCTCACATTCTTAAGGGAAGCCACCTGAGGTGGGTCCATTCCCTCCCCCCATAAGAGTTTCCATTCATACCTGATCCAAGGCCTCTTGAGTCACGGGTACAGCGGGCTTCTCTGCAGCTGCAAGCTCCTCTTGCTGTTTCCTTAATGTCTGAAGCAAAATATCACGGGGTTCCGTTCTCCTAATTGTGACTGGGTAACGGTAATCTTTCCTTTGTGGGGTGGCCCCTTCAAAAACAAACCAGGTTTAAGTATCACGCAAGCCTTTGCTTTCTTTCTGAAGTAGGAAGCCCTCTAAGGAAAGTCTGCACGGTTCATTCCTCCCTCTTCTCTAAATACCTGTTGGGATGTCTACTTGAAGTTCCTTGCTCATAAAGCCATTAACCCGAGTTAATCCAGCCTCTGCTTCCTCAAGGAGGGCCTCTTTTTGTTTCTGAAGCACGTCACAATCGTTCTGCATCTTGCCAAGGAGCCTCTTCAGGGCTGCCTCCGCAGCACCCTTCTGTCCATCAATGTGGTCGGTGATCTTAGCCACTGATACGTCACAACTGTCATCAAGAGTCTGGAGACAAGGTGAAAGGCTTAAAAGCACATTGCCAGTTTCATAAAATGCAAATCGCATGTTCTTAGAACCGTTCATTTTAGAGACAGCAAAACAGGTCTTTAAGTTGTCTCCTTTATCGTGCCTCAGTTTTTACTTTTACAATTGTCCGCTAGTAAAGCTACTGAGCACTACTAACAGTAACCCAATTAGCGTCTCCCTAATTTCCCCGTGAAGCTGTAAGAAAAGTGTGTTTTCTGGGATACCGGAAGACACTGGTAAAGACAACTGCAGCTTGGAATCCATGGAGAAGTAGGGATCCATGAGGAACAGTTGTAGTCTTTCCATGACCAGCGATTCCTTTCCCTCAGCTCGTTAGAAGGCCTCGCACATCATTTCAGGACCCAACAGCTTCCTCAGATGGACCAATAAACAAGCCATAAGAAAAAAAAGATTTGAGCCCAGTAGTGTCTGAAAGATCAACAAGCGTTTCAGGGGGGAAGCTTTTGAGAATCAAAGCTCCCTTCATCAGGTAACAAACATATCTGACAAAGGGCGCTTTGATCTCTAAGGCATTACTGGACCCAAAACTAGCTGCTCTGCTGTACCAAGACAAAGTCTGCATAGACGCACTTCAGCATACGGAAGTGTCCACCTAGACTCGACTGAACTGATACGGCGACAGGGTGAAGAAAATGTACTTGCTTTGATGACATCACCACTTAATTAATTGGCTCAGTGAAGTCACACAGACAATTCTGAACGGGAGGAAGAGTGGCCAAGCAAGGGGAAGGCTGACCAAACTGACTTCTCAAGAGCACCAAGAGTAAAAATTTAGCAGTTGTAGATGTTAACTCTTCTGCAAGCAGGATGGGATGGGAAGCAGAAGCCAAACACAGACAAGCACACAAAATGAATTAATGTCTAACTCAGGCAGGTTCTGGTTAGTGTGGGTCACTGTTAAAGGTTTGATTATCCTTGACAAGACCCAGTGAAGACCCCATGAAGAATCAAAGCAATATAAAAGTTGGCTTACTGCCCTGAACTGGATAGCCCAGACAAACCTGATCTCATCAGATCTTGGAAGCTAAGCAGGGCTGACAATGGCAAGTACTTGGATGGGGGACCCCAAAGGAATCCCAGGGCTGGGACGCAGAGGCAGAAAATAATAAGCCACATCTCTGAAACATCCAAGCTCCACCCACTAGGGGTCACCAGATGTCAACTATGACTTCCAGGCATACACAAACACACTCACAAAAAATGTTGGCTTACTTATATTTTTACTAGCTTCATTTTGAAAATCACACCTTTAGTTTAGCTAATTTGGTTATGAGTTTTCAGGAACGATAAACTTGTCTGTTGTGGTTTGGCTCTTCCGAGCTGGAGATGTGTTGAAGTGATAGGCAACATCCTTCCCACCCCAGACTTTTCTTTGATAGGGGCCCAGTTTGGGTAATTTTTTTTTTTTGGGGGGGGGGGGAGGAGAAGGAAATGGCCTGGGGTCTACCTAAAAATTCTTTGAAAGGTCAGAAAAACATAGTTGTGCCTGCAGTCCCTTTCTCCTTTCCAGGGAAGATCAGCCAAAAACATTCAAGGGGACATCTGGTATAACTTTTTCGAGAAAAAGTGGTGTTTTGTGCATAAACAAAATGTGGTACCAAAGAACAATATCTTCTGAACCATAACATGCTGCTCAGAATATTAAGATTGGTAAAGGAACCACTGGGGATATTAATGGAGATTATTTCCAAGTTACTATATTCTAGGATTTTAGCCTACAGGAAAAAATGTAGTTGCCAGCAGAGTAATTTTCACCCCTAACCGTGTTATACTAAGCTTAGGAAGCTTTGCATCTGCTTGTCATAAGAGTCTTGTTCCGTCTGCTTAAAAAGCTACTTTCAGATAGTTTGGGCCATCACCAGGTAAGCAATGGCTTTGTTACCTTGCAGAACCTTTGCAGGTGTTCCTTCCTGCTTCTGAGGAAGCCTGTCTGTTGATCAATGATGCAGCTGATGTTGGTTGTTGCAACTCCACCCCAGTTGCTGGTTTCTTGGCACACGCTTTTCAAGCTGCTGTCCAAACGCTCACAGTGACCAACTGAATCCAACAACATATTCATATTCTTTTCACTCAACTGCCTGATCTCCTGAGAAAAGCCACTCAGAGGCTGAGTCAGGTTGGTTTGCTGGGGAGCGACAGAGTTGGCAAGTCCAGTAGTTTGCCTGAAAGAACAGATTTAGTAGTAGGTGACTCGAACAGAGGCAGCAGTTTAAAAAAACAAACAACAAAGAAGCAGGGCTGCCCCAGGGGCATTTCTGCACAAGTTTAAGATTACTAATACAGATTGCGACTACTATTTTGCATTTGCACTTAAATTGTTCTATGCATACTGCAATTCTGTCACAAGTCACCCCTATGCCAATCCCTCACTTGTGTTGATCTGTCCTGTTCATTGTTTAGTATGACCACACAGTTACTGTATCTGTTTTGATCTCAATTTTTGGAAGTGCTAACCTCTGTTTAAAAAAACCTGGTGGAGTGTATCTGGTTTAACATTGTGTCACACAAGCTTGGATCTTGACTCACATTTCTGCAGGAACAAGAACTGCTGCTCAGAATGCAATTGCCACCACCACCCCCCGAGCCCCAAATATCACCCTGCTCCTATGAATAGGTGGGAAGATTGTGTTGTGTGAGCAGAAGCCCCGGTGCATGCAGAAAGGCTAATGAGGATCCAGCCCAAACAGCTTGTATTGTTCTATTTTGTATGGAACCTGCCTACAGAGCACTGTGCTGGGAGCAATGCTCCCTCTAAGCCAGTGATGGCAAACCTTTTAGAGACCGAGTGCCCAAACTGCGACCCAAAACCCACTTATTTATCGCAAAGTGCCAACACGGCAATTTAACCTGAATACTGAGGTTTTACTGTAGAAAAAACAACACATACATTAACTTAAGATGACCCAAACAAAGCAAGGAAAGCAATCCCAAATGCTTTCATTTACTTAAAATTATTTGGCAGAGAATTCAACACTTTAATGATGGTCTGGGCCTGGCTGGGGCGATGGCACGTGTGCCCACAGAGAGAGGTCTTCATTTATTTGCCACCTAGATTAGTAATCACTTCATTATCAACCGTGGGAAAAACCTGCAGCTCAACACATGGGCCCAGAGATCTGAGCATATTATGAAGGTGAGGTCCTCCTTCCTCCAATTTTTGAAGACATTTCTTGTTTCATCTGCCCTACTGAAAAGTACTCAGAAACGTGGAGTGATTTCTAGTTCACACTAACTCAGCTTAGAGGGAACACTGGCTGGGAGTGTGAAGTATAAGTGTGATAAAGTAAATTAACACAACCCTGTAGGAGACGAGTTGTTCTCAAATGTATGGTGAACTGGTATGGTAAGTTCACTCAAGCATCTCCCCCACCGCACTTCACTCACAATAACTTATTCTTCTTGGAGTATTGCCACATTGCAACCACATCTGGGTAAAAGAAAACTGCATTGGCCTAACAAGAATAATTTCTGGTCAATGCCCCTAAGACTGGATCAGAACAGCTCCAAAAATCACTTTACACCATGCCTTTAATATTAGTTTGAAGAATGTCTGAACACAAAATTTGACAAGATACATGTAGCCCCCATAGGAGTTGTTCGTTAGTGTAGAATATGCAACTAAGGGATGAAAGACCCCAAAATAAAGCATGAAAATCCCATAAATTAGTGTTAGATGTTATACTTGCCCACTATTTTATTCTCAAAATAAGTTTAGAAGGCTCCCACTTGTGTATTCATGTCTAGGGAGCCTGCCTATCTGTGCAGTGTCAAAAACTGCAAGCTGTTTGCACAGGCTTTGAAAAAGGCATTTCAGAGATCACTAGCTAGAGATTCTTACACGGTTAGGTTTTCCTTTACAGCAGAAATACTCTGCTTCAAACTACCACTTTCCTCTTCCAGTCCATGGATATCCTGCTGGGTTCGCTGCAGAGAAGCTACAAGCTGGGCTATATCCTAGTACAAAAGGTAGAATATCAGAGATTAATAACACTTTTATGACAAAAGTCTTCAGCTCTGTTCTAAAAAGTACAGCTGGATATGTGAATTCATTCAAATGTATTTCAGAGTGTATTTTGCATTACTTTGAAAGGCTTTCATTATGACTGGCATACAATTAGCTACTCAACTGCTCGCCGTGTTTCCAATGGACATGGCGTTTGCCCACGTGTAGCAACTCCTGCCAACCTAGCAGTTCGAAAGCAAGAAATTGCAAGTAGATAAATAGGTACCACTTCGGTGGGAAGGTAACAGCGTTCCGTGCGCCTTGGTGGTTAGTCATGCCGGCCACATGACCACGGAAATGTCTTCGGACAGCGCTGGCTCTTCGGCTTTGAAACGGAGATGAGCACCGCAACCCTAGAGTCGGCTTCGACTGGCTTTCGAGCAAGGGAACCTTTACCTTTATCTTTAGCAACAAAACAAAGCAGGCAGACTTTAGACTTGTGCAGTCTACCTTTTAATAAAATCCCAGAAATCCAAAACCAGAAAAGCCAGAGTTACCAGTTGTACCATATAAGTCATTCATAAGGGTGATCCATAGCTCCAACAACAAACCCTCAGCTGGGTCACTACAAATTAGGAAATTCAAGGCATAAACACACAACCCACTCTCAGTGGAGCTGCTTTCTATACAAGTGCACTCCCATCCACTCGAACACACTTGGAACAAACTGCAATAAGAAATACATGCAGAAATTCAGAAAATCCTAAAAGTCAAATTTACTTTGATAGCTCAGAACATGTTATTGGGTATTTTACCTGACAATATAAAAAAAAATTTTTGGAAGAATTATTTAGATTCAGAACAACGGCCAGAGTTACATGTGCAACAAAACAGAAAGCAGAAGACTGCCCAAGCTGAGAGGACTGGAAAGACAAACTAGCAGAATATGCAGTGATGGCAAAACTAATGAGTTATGTAAATAAAGGGCCAATCAAAGAATTTCAGGATGAATGGAAAGCTTACTGGGGAGGAAAGTTAGTACTCTAGTTTAAGATTTTTTAAAAAAATCATTAATGTATATATTGAGCATTATATAGAGTAGTTTATGACCCACATTAAAATCTAGTATGTATTACAATATCAGCATTTAATTAATACCATTTGATGTTTGGTAAAGTATTAATTCTAATCTATTGCAATCGTGGATTTTTTTCCTTATTTTATACTATTCGTGGAACATGTTTAAAATATCTTCTTATTTTTTCTCTTTATTTCTTGATGTAGTTACAGATTTTTCAAATGTTTAATCGGATGTTCTTTTGATGTCCTTTTCATATTTATATTTAGATATTTAAAAATTGTAGGCATATGTGAGGCACTCAGTTAAAAGCAATAGAATATCCAGCATGATGCTTCTGCCAGATATACAGTGGGCATTAAAAGGAAAATCAGAAGGTCAGAATTTGACAGTTTCTTCTCTACTGGTTATGTACACACACACAAACAATTAAAGATTAAAGCACAGGACAGGGGAACCAGTAACTCACTCGTCCACCTCAAATCATCGACTACAACAGCCATTCTGCCTGCCCAAGTTCTGCCACAGGTTCTCACCTGACATATTTTTTATTTCTTGTAGCACTGAAAAAAATACCTTTCCATGGGCCAGCCTTGCCAATTTCATCTTCTCCTCCAACTTTTCAGTGTTACGATAAACTTCAGCCAACATCTGAGAGCTGTCTTCTTGCAGTTTATTCAAATCACGAGTATGGTTTTGGAAGAAGATAGTAGTTTCCTCTTTAAGACTTTCCATCTTCACATAAAAAAAAGGTATCACACCAAGAGGCAAACACCATCAATATTTAGTGGCTTTTTCTAAACTAACAACGCAATTATATGCCAACAATTAATAAAGCCAGATACAGGAGACTTTCTCTACCTTCTGCAGACGTTTTGGGAGAAAAAACACTGATCTTGTCTGCACCTAGCAGAATATGATAATTGATACAAGGGCTAGTAAGATAATTACCTTTTCAGCCAATGATGAATATTCCTTCAAATTATTTTGCAGTTGAAAATTTATATCCAGCACAAGTTTTACAACAGGAGAAAGACTACTTAATGCTCTGTATACTCCAGAGGTAAGTTCTGCCTGAAAGCAAGAAGAGAAGTAAGGTTACCGCCACAGGCAGTTTCCTTACTTTTAAAGACATACAGGCTTGGTCAGAAATCTGAAGATGGCGGCAAGCATAAGACTTACTACCGTTGAAATAATCAACAGTTTCTTATTAATGATCGTTAAAATCTTATTTACCCAAAGACGTTGGCTTGAATCCAAAGGCTATATTTAGCACAAAGGAAAGGGGAAGAAACAGTCTCCACCAGCTTGCTCCTCTAACTGTGGACAGTCTGCCCACAGTCCCATCTCCCAGAAACAGCATGTCAGGGTTGCTCATTAATGGGCCACAAGATCCTGTTCTTGCAGTTGCCACAGACCAACACAGCTACCTCTTTGAAACTTGCATATGCTTGCTTTTCTAGAAAAACTGGGTTTTTTTTAAATGGCCAAGCAATATGTGATAGTACAATAAAAGCACTATCTAGATCTATACTTACTATCAGTTTCTGCAGATCATTTTGCATTTCAGACGTCAGAGATGCCTGCTTCAGTAACTTTTCAGAAACCAGAGACACTTCTGTGGCAACTGTCTCTTTTACAGAACTGAACGCTTCAAGTATAGCTGCTGCAGTAACTCCAAAGGCTGAAGAGCTAGCAGACAGAAAGTCACCTAGCCAAAATAAGATTTTAGTAAAGAACAAAGATGCAGGCAATCACTTTGAACCAAGCCTCTTCATCACCAAATGAGTGCTAATTTAAAGAATCAGGCTAGCTCCATTTTAAGGATTTGGTGGCAGCAAGCCTTTGAAATTATAGATACACAAAAACATCTTACCAATGGAGATGGTATAATAGTCTAGCATCTGCTGTTGTTTCCAGTAGTTCTCACTAACCGAGTCCTGCATTTTGTTGAAGAGAGTGTTCATGTGCTCTGTAAATTTTGTCTGTGCTTCTGCATTATGTTGATCAACAGCTTTTTTACGATCTATTTTTGCATGAAGACCTGACACATCATTGGTAGTTTCTTCCACTGTACTAAGTAGCTAAGATAGGAAGGAAGATACTTCGTCACGCTTTACATTGCCATCACTTTCAATATATATATCAGAATGAATCAACTGGTCAGTCCCATGAAACTACATTGCACCCAGCATTATTTTCTACAATGAATGGCTCCATAGTATAGCAAGTGTAGGTTCCTTCACTGAGGCTTATGGTAGAGACTTATCTATTTTCATAGTCAAGTTCCATGTAGGAAATGGGACCAGGGAGTTTCCTCTTGACATGGCCTCGGCAATCTCCCCAGCCAGCAGCCTCCCTAAGGTAGGGAATTTCACTGAGGCTTCCAGAAACAATGAGACAAAGCACCCCCGTCAACTGAAATCTACCTGCACTGCCATTCACAGAGCAGATCTCAGATTACTTTTTTTTTTTGGAGGGGGGGAGGCAACAGCAGCCACCAAGTGCCTTTGAGCTCTTACAATGGGGTGAAGAACGTTTCCTAGCAGCTTAAAAGCTTGGCAAGCTGAGACAGTACCTTTGGTTGATAAAGCACTCCCTGATTAGACATTAAGGGAAAACAAAGGCACACAACTCCAAAAGGCCCTTCAGCCCCCTGAGCTACACCAGTGATGGAAGGGGACAGTTTCAGTGGCTAGACCTTATGTTTGGAGGTTATTCATAGACTGGAGGTGGCCTGGTAGCTCTGTAAGCAAGACTGATCACCATCTGGAGGGTGTAGGGCCCTTACAAGTCTCCTTTCTATAATGGATGCACTCTACCCTCTTAGGAGGGCAACTGTGCGACAGTTTGAATAAGACCACGTCCTTATTGAATCAACCATGAATGTACTGCAAAAACCTAGAATGATGAATTGCACAACCTTAGTGGCTGTTCCATGAAGCTTGTCTTCTGCAACTTCCAAAACCGATGCTACAAAGACTTCTTCGTCAAGAAGAGTCTTGGTCACTTCCAGATGCGTCTGAGTGTCTTCTAGTTCTTTTTCCTTAACTTGTAGCTCCACTTTGAACTGTTCAAGTTCACTTTTGTGAACTGTGAATAATTCAGTGACCTGTATTACAAGAAACATTTGTTAAAAGTTATATTAAAGTCAACAAGAAGAAGTCCACCTTGATCATAAGGTCCAGTTCTCCAGACCAAGGGACGAGCCATGTATTAGTGCAGGGCTATCTCCTAACAAGAAAACTTTAGATGAAAAAAAATCGAGAGTTAACTGCTTCAGCAACAATGTCCTATTGAGAGACCGGTTTTAAGGGAGTCTATGCATGTACAGTGGTGAAGTAACTTGAAGAACAGAAGCCAAGCGAGGCAAAGTTCATGCAATTAGCTACTTTGGGTTTATCGACCTATATTATACATATTAAGTCTTGGATTTTCACTACAAGATGCAATGAAAGTGAGGAGGGCACCAGGGTGATTCCCCCCCTAACTTGTTTGTTAACCATGCAAAGTTCTCCTGTATTTAAGCTGCATGCTGTGCAGAGAATGTTATGTTCTCCATAGCCTGTATACAGAGCTCCAAAATCCCCTTCCATAAGACTCCCAATAGCGAATGCCAGTCCCAGAGCTCCACTGGGTTTGTAAAGAATGCAGGAAAGAGATGGATTTCACTCCCTTTTGTAGAAGATAGCATCTGATCTCAACTTGTTCAGGACTGTACAGAAGGCAAAAAAGACACTACAGTGGTATACCTTTTCCCCAGTGCCTCCACTAGATGGCAATATAAGCACTGCTTGTTGAAGAGCTCTGTATAATACAAAGGGGGGGGAGAGCAGCAAGACAGAGGCCAGCCTGGTCTTTTTGCTTTGCAGTTTTGCATAAGCACTTGTGTTGTCTGGTTTGAAACACTAGTATGAAGGTCAGTAAAGACCAAAAGTAATGGTTAGCTAGTAAACCAAGGTAAAATGTGTGGTTTCTGACCGAGACAGCCATATTAACAGCTTCCTTTGTTCATATGACCTCAATTTTATATTAAAAACGGAGCAAAGAGTCTCAGAATGCTTCATTTACTTCGGTATGACAAGCTACGATAGACCCTACACATGGTATTCATACCTGGGAGAAACTAGGAGTTCCAAATGGAAGCCGCACTGAATTTATATCTTCCTGAAATTATTCATGCTTGTTTCAATTATTCTTTCTTTTAAATATGCAACGTTAAACGTTTTTAGACAACCATTGTTTTATGAGATGCGTGGCCGAAGGCATAAATGGGTGGGTGAGTGTGGCTGGGTTTGATTTTGTCTGCTTGAAGGCCATATACAGACAAGCAACAACAAGCAAAGGAGTCTGGTTCCACTTTTTGCAGAAAACACAAACTACAAAAGCAGAATATATTTTCCCAGTTTGCAGGGGACTCAAAGGTACATTGGGTCTGTGACTGCCTCCCTCTTCTCAGCCTTTCTACAGTGGTATCTGGGCTATCTCTCGTCAAGATATTGAAGAGGCCCCTGGATCAGGCCCCACCAAGTCCCCAGAATTTGCCCACTGCAACACTATTAGTTCCCAATAATCCCATTTGAGGAATACAATGAATTTTTAAAATCACATTAACAGTATACAATTACATACTGAGGACAAAGTTTAAGTCCAGTGGCACCTTTAAGAGCAACAAAGAAGAGGTGTTATTTGTGACACTGAGGGTGCGTTCAGACGCGGCGTTTGCAACGGTATAGGTGCCGGTAGCAATCGGTGTACTTACCGGCGTTCACACATAGAACATCTGCCTTCCGTCCCTAACCGTCGCAAAGCCCTTTAAACCGTTGTACTCTGCCACTAGGTCCCCAAGTACAACGGTTGTAATCGCTGTACCCGCCGTCTGATCGCTCTCCACCGTTGAGAAACAACTTCCGTTCGGAAGCCTGAGGCTTCCGATTTTCACCCGCCATTTTTTTTAAAAGGTCGGCGATATGCGCTTGGGCGAAGCTTCACACTGGCGTTTGTTTTTTTTAAAAAAGAAAAGGGCCTTAGTTTAGCGTTTCGGAGGCGTCCGGGACCTCAGGGAGGCTACTTTGCTCTTTAAACTTTAAAGGCAAGTCCTTACCTTTAAGTTTAAATGTAAGATAGGGTTTTTTGCGCATGCGCGAAGATCGCCATTCTGTGGATGGCTGCCTATGCGCATGCTCAAACTGAGTTAAAAAAAACAAACGCCGATGCCCGCTGTGTGTGGACGGGCATACAGCGATGGCATCCGCAGACAGGAGGTAGTTTATGCCGGCTGAAATGGCGCGTCTGAACGCACCCTGAATGTTGCTTCCCTTCACACCAATATCCCACAGGATGAGGCTCTGGATGTTTTACGAGAGGGGCTTGATAGGAGAGAGCAGAATTCACATCCACCTACATCTTTTCTGTCCCAGACAGCCAAATTATGCCTTAAGAAAAACTCCCTTCAATTTCAGAATTGCCTTTTTTGGCAAATTTCTAGCACTACTATGGGCTTCCAATCTGCTCCTGAGTTGGCCAATTTTTAAATGTGGAAATTAGAAAACAACTTTATTCCTCAAGAAATCATGAAATATGCTGCCCTTTATAAAAAATATTTTAATTGTCTGGAAAGGTACTGAGGAACTACTAAATTTGATATGACATACAATAGGTCAAGATTAAAATATTTTAGATGATGAGGTAAAAACGTTGGTGCCACAATACAAATTGATGTCTACAGGGAACCTACAGATGCCAATTTCTATTTAGCAGGGAATAGCTTCCATCCCGAAGTCTGTGAAGTGAAGTCTTCACGTTCAGTGACAGACTTCATGTTCCTGGGATCCCAGATCACCGCAGACTGTGACAGCAGCCATGAAATTAAAAGACACCTGCTCCTTGGGAAGAAAGCGATGGCGAACCTAAACAGCATGATAAAAAGTAGAGACATCACCCTGCCAACAAAAGTCCACATGGTCAAAGCAATGGTATTCCCAGTAGTCATGTATGGCTGCGAGAGTTGGACTATAAGGAAGGCCGAGCGCCGAAGAATAGATTCTTTTGAACTATGGTGCTGGAGAAGACTCTTGAGAGTCCCTTGGACTGCAAGAAGATCAAATCAGCCAGTCCTAAAAGAAATCAACCCTGACTGTTCCCTGGAAGGCCAGATAATGAAACTGAAGCTCAAATACTTTGGCCACCAAAGGAGACGGGAGCACTCACTGGAGAAGACCCTGATGCTGGGACTAGGGAAGACTGAAGGTCAAAGAAGACGGGGATGGCAAAGGATGAGATGGTGAGACAGTGTTATCGAGGCAACGAACATGAAATTGAGCAAACTCCGGAGCAGGACAGAAGACAGTAGGACCTGGCGTGATGTGTTCCATGGGTTCACGAAGAGTCGGACTCAACTGTGCGACTGAACAACAAGCTTCCATCCTTATCATTTAAAAATCTGCCGTATATGCAACTTTTGAGATTAAGAACAAATTGCAGTTTGGATTCAGATTTCCACAGACAAGCCCAGGAGCTGATCAGTCAGTTGGCCGACAGGGGGGTATTCATCTAAAACTTTAAAACAAGCCTTTTATAAGGCCAGAAGCACTCCAAGATCATCTTTGTTCATACTCAAAATTAAAAAATAAACTACAGATAGGATGGTTATCACCTTAGCGGACAACAGTTTATACACCCAAGTGAGAGGAATAATACCAAGATACTGGTACTGCTTGTCTGGGATCCCAAAATGTAGTTCTCCCCCTTTTTACTTTTAAAATATCTAGACATTTTAAGGACATGCTAGTGAGGAGTACATTTAAGAGAACCCACTACCAGAAAGACAACAATTCATGGTAAAGAAATACCAAAAGGAAATTTCCCTTGTGGACATAGTTCTGTGAGTGTCTATTCTGTTAAAATATATTTCAGAATACATCTAATGACAGAATCTTTCATATTAACTCCTTTGTCAATTATAACTCTAGAGGCATAATATGTTGTATGGTGTCCCTGCAATCTGATGTATGTAGGTATGACAAGATGATCTGTTAAGACCAGTGTTCTCTCTAAGCTGAGTTAGCTCACAGGTGTAGCCCAGGAAGGATAGCTCCAGAGCAAACTAATTTATGCGGTAGCCAAATGTCTCATTCACAACTTTAATGCCAGTCGCTCACAAAGTAGAATTTTTGCTCATGAGACTCCACAGCTCAGAGGGCGCATTGGTTAAGACGGTATTTGTGAACATAGGAGCTGCATTAGAAGAAAGCTTACAGCTCCACTCGTTCAACATGGCTCAACCTTTGCACATTCTGATAAGGAACTTCACTTCTGGGTTGTTGAACAACTAATAGCTTTACCTTCTCAACAGCATAGACTTCTAAAAAGAAGGGAGACATTCTGGATCTTCACTTTGGGAACACTTAAACCACAAGGACTAAATGAAGATACTGAATGGATGTGCACACAATTTCTTTCATCTGGACAGGGCTTATGTATCTGTGGAATGCTGTAACTAAGCCCCCCCTCCCCGTTTAAGGTTTGTTATTCCTCCCTTTCCCTCCCCCCTCTTTCTCCTTCAGTTTTCCCCTCCATTTTTTCTCTTCTTTAAAAAAAAAAATTACTCTTTTGTCATGTGGATTACATCACCCCCCTCCCTATATATGAGGTTTGTGAATAGGAGAAAGTTACTGTCAGTTTAAGGTTGGTATTTCTATGCACACTCAGAGTTTTGATAGCCATGGTCACCTGACCATGTATGTTATGAGGTTTGTCCCATTTAACTGCAATTTGTTGGGTCCTTAATTAACTGAATTTAATTTCTCCTTTGAGTAGCTTTGTTATATACATTTTTTACAGAAAGAGCCATTGAACTTGCATTCCTTGGATATGTGTGCTTAAAAGTTTAAGAAAACCCTCATACAACCCAATTCTTTTGCCACCCAGGATAGTTGCAACATGAGTCATTAATTTAAAAAAAATCAAAAGTTTTTGTAGTTAAATTGTTTATTTTTCACATATAAATTGAGTAATTATATTTTTATTCATTTTCACATTTGCAGGCCCTATAATCAACCTGCCTTGGCACTAACACAAGTTTATATGTCATAGTGTGCATGTATATACAAAAATTTGATCACTGAGGAAGGCCTTGGAGACTGAAATGCATCAACCTAGATATATTGAATTATTGGTACTGTTTTAGTGGTTCAAGGCTTTTAACCTAGAAATACTGAAATGAAGTTATATAGATTCAGGACTTTCGAGTTCAAATATTCACCACTTCAAGGGTGGATTGTGCCAATGTTTTTAAAGCACTGTTTTAGTGCACTTTGTAATAAATACATATATTTTGTTTAATTTCTTTCTTTCCCCCCTCTCATCCAACCTTTGTGAACCCAACTTTGTTGTCTCAAAAAGAAGGCCGTTTTCCTGAAAAGGTTGTGACACCACCTACCTACATCTGTCGGATTCCTGCCTCTTTCCTAAAAAGGAGGGTGTAAACCATGTGGAGCCTGAGACATAAATTAATATAAAACCAGCAAAGGGCAAGGGAGGAGCAGAATCCCATGTATTACCAGTCAGGACTCCCCAGTTTGAATTTTAACAGCTGCATCTAAAGGCGGCCTAGGTATCTGTGGAGGTGTGCCTGAGTATGAGCACACATGAGTGCTTTTGAATTTCCTTGGTGTGAGCTTAATAAATATTACTTCTGTATTCAAAAACTTACTTCCTGGCTTTCTCTCTGTCTTCCACCCTCACCTTATGGGGAAAAGTCCCGCTGGGCCACTTATCCTTTCAGCTCATTTGTACTGGGCCTTTCAGCTCATTTTGGCCCTGACACATCTCCTGAGGAAAGTAATAATGCTCTACGTGAGGAAATAAAACCCTTGGAGGCCCAATGACTCATTTTCAAGGCATTTTACAGATGGAAGTGTCACTCACATCTATTCCAACTTACACACTACACCAGTTTGGTGTAGTGGTTAAGAGCGCAGACTCTAATCTGGGAGGACCGGGTTTTATTCCCCGCTCCTCCACTTGCAGCTGCTGGTGTGACCTTGGGTCAGTCACAAGTTCTCTCAGAGCTGTTCTCTCAAGAGCAGCTCTCTCAGTCCCACCTACCTCACAGTGTGTCTGTTGTGGGGAGGGGAAGGGAATGGAGATTGTAAGCTACTCTGAGACTCCTTCGGGTAGTGAAGGGCGGAGTATAAATCCAGTCTCTTCTTCTCTCGCTATGCAGCCGCAGTTTGTCAGTGGCGGTTAGTCCAGTTCACAAAGATTAGGCTAAACTGCTGCTGCTGTGGCCTGAAGATGCTGCCAGGATGCTTGGAAGAGCAAAGCCTGCCACCTGTATGCTTGACTCTTACCCACTTGGGCTTATTATACTCAAACAGGTAAAGAAGAATTGCTGGCTTGGTCTGGCAGGTAGTTCATGCTTCATTACGGGAGGGCGTAGACCAAGCCACAATGAAAACAGGTGGTTATAACACCACCCCCAAGGAAGTCCACTCTAGACCAAAGTGATTCCAGCAAGTTATTGGCAAAGGCACGAAATCTCATTTAGGTTGTGTGCTCGGTAGCAGCCTTACTAATTTAAGTCATCCATGGATTGAAGCCAGCTATCTAGGCTGGCACAAATGCAGCTTCAGACAAAAGCTGGGAAAGAAACAGAACTAGTCTGACTCGGGATTACATTGGATGTTTCAGCAGCTTATACCACCATTAACTGGGTTATCATTCTTAGTGGACTACTTCCAAAAAGTGGTGCTGGATGCTGATTCTCTGTTCTACAGCATTTGTTATGGGGGCTACAGGGTTCCATCTTGTCACCCATGGTGTTTAATGTATACGTGAAGCCACTGGAGGATGTCATTCACATGTCGGCACATTACTGACAACTAGGACTCTTATTACTGGATTTGTGCAAGGCCATGGATGTTTAAAATAGATATTAGAGTTGGTAAATGAACTGCAAAGAGGCTAATAATACCATGATTGAGGATTCAGCCTGTTCTTTAGGGAACTGCAGCTCCACCCAGGTTCAGATTCAGTCTGGGGAATATTAGTTTGAACTCTGCAGACCGACACACCCTTGTGTTACCTTTAGGGTAAAGCACTGCTAATGACTTCCAATTTATTTGCCGGCTCGGCCTTTCCTGTAAAAATATATCCCATAGAATGGCAGGAATCCATAGAAATATTTAACAAAGAGCTCCCGCTGAGGGACTGAATTATATTTTCTCCTGTTACTGCCCAGCTTGGCAGAGACTGAATTAAGTGATTAGATAGGAAGAGTCCCTCCAAAAATGTTTCATTTTCAGTCAGGAAAGCTGATGCTTCCTTAAAATGACAGATCCATTAGGCCACCCGCATCTTTTGCAAAAGCAGGCCTGAAAACAACTTCACTTACTCTTTTCAGTTCTTCTTCCATGGTTGCAATTTTCACAGTATACTCTGCAATCTGTTCTTCTTGGACAGTCAGCTTCCCATGAAGAGCACTACAACAGGATCACCATTGAACAAATTAACGTTTCTTGGCAAAGGAATAAGAAGGCAAAGACAAGCATTCATACTCGTAGTTGACAAAAAGATTTTCCATTTTGCTTTAACTAATTTTAAAATTAAGAGATTTCTCATATTACTAGGCATCAGTGTTCCCTCTAAGATGAGTTAGTGTGAGCTAGCTCACAGTTTTTTTGCCTGCAGTTCACAGGTTTTTGTCTTAGCTCAGGAAGGATAGCTCCAGAGCAAACTAATTTATGCAGTAGCCAAATTGCTCGCTCACAACTTTCAGTAGCTCACAAAGTAGAATTTTTGCTCACAAGAACTCCACACCTTAGAGGGAGCATTGCTAGGCATGATTTACTCGTTATATATACAGATGCACCATTTACACTGAAAACAGTATTAAGTATAAATGGTCTACCGGTTGCCTAGGCATTCCAACAGAAACAGGTTCCCTCAATAGGGACCCAAAGCAACTCACAACATTGTTTTTTTCTCTTCCATTTTATCCTCACAGCCACCACTCTCTGAAGGAGGTTACGCTGAAAGACAGAGACCACCATAGCATTTTCCCCACAAAGCATTGCTGCCTGGGGAGCACATTAAAGAAAAATGCTCAATTGACACCACACTACCAAAATTTATAGGAAGTAGATACTCACTCGTAGTTTTCCAGAGAAATGTAGACTCCATTTTTCTCTCTTGCAGTGGCAAGATCTCGTTTTAAGCGCTCGATCTCTTCTGTGTATTCCTGAAAAAACATCAGTACAATGCACTCTCTGCAAAACTCATAATCTAATATGCGACTCTGACTCCACGTTGCAGCCCGCTGAAATGAGCTTTAGTGCAGCAGACAAAACTTAAAACTGAGATTATTTACCGGTAGTTACAAAATTTGTATATTGCCTTTCTGTCCTCATGAAGGCCACCAAGACAGCTGACTAGAAAAATACTTAACAAAGCAGGGCTTGAAAACAATGAAAGCAAAGTTTTTTAAAAATCCTTAAAATAATTACAACCAAGCTAAAATAAACATCTGTAGTTACGGTGGGGCTTTTGGGGGCTCCATCCCCTTTCTTAAAGGCACAGCCCACAAGAATTTCTCCTGTAAATGCCCTTTTCAGTCATTTTAAAACATTTTTTAAAAGGTGTGCGCGCCTTTAAGCAGAGTGGGATGTTGTAGTTAACTAACTACAGTAGAGCCAGTTTGGTGTAGTGGTTAAGTGTGCGGACTCTAATCTGGGAGAACCGGGTTTGATTCCCCACTCCTCCACTTGCACCTGGCTGGATGACCTTGGGCAAGCCTTATCTCTGATAACAGCTGTTCTCTAAAAAGAGCAGTTTCTGTCAAGAGCTCTCTTAGCCCCACCTACCTCACAGGGTGTCTGTGGAAAGGGAAGGGGAAGGGAAAGGAGTTTGTAAGCTGCTCTGAGACACCTTTGGGTAGTGCTAGTGCTAAAAACAGTTCATATACAGTGGCAGGCATGAACATCATCCAGCAAGCAGTCAGTCAGTTCGCATTGTGGTCTGGGTTATATCGGTTGTTGATGTTCATATAGATGTTAATATTGGGGCCAGGGTCTTGGTTGTATAATGCGGCTCCCTAGTCGAAGGCCTGGTGGAAGAGCTCCGTCTTGCAGGCCCTGCGGAACTGTAAAAGGTCCCGCAGGGCCCTGATGTCTTCCGGGAGCTCATTCCACCAGTGTGGAGCTGCCACTGAAAAGGGCCTGGCCCTCATCACAGCCAGCCTGGCTTCTCTAGGACCCAGGAGGGCCAGACAGTTTTGGGACCCTAATCGTAGAGCTCTCTGGGGAACATGTGGGGAAAGGCGGTCCCTTAGGTATGCAGGTCCCTGACCATATAGGGCTTTAAAGGTAAGAACCAGCACCTTGAACCAGATTTGATATGCAATAGGCAGCTAGTGCAGTGCTTTTAGTGCAGGAAAGATGTGCTCTCGCATAGGGAGGCCCAGCAACAGCCTGACTGCCGTGTTCTGCACCAGCTGCGGCTTCCAGGACAAGGGCAGGCCCATGTAGAGAGCATTACAGTAATCTAGTCTCGAGGTGACCATTGTATGGATCACTGTTGCCAGGTCATTGCGTTCAAGGAAGGGAGCTTTAAAATGAGCTTTAACTCGTGTCTTATCCAATTAGTCCGAAGCCTTCCTCTACTGTTGTTCGAGCCTTTTCATTGCCAGTATGCCTGTAACCCCTCAGTAAACCAAGGGGCCACCTGGACTCTTAACTCGAGAGAGAGGGTGCCCGGGAGTCATTTCCTCCAGTCCAGGGCAGTGATAGGAACATCAACATGAAAATCCCCAGGAGCTGCCAGAAAGCCATTAATGTTTAATAAAAGCATACAAACCTTAATAAGTGCCCGCTTTGTGAGCTTCTGGTTCACTTCAGGTTTATTCATGATATTCTTTGCTCTATGAGCATATTCAAGAGTACTCAGCGTTTCCTATTGTATAAGAAGCAGACAAGTGATTAAGTAAATGTTTTCTGTTTCAGCTCCAGCTGCCGCTCCCCTGCTCCATTTGTACATTTCCCACCAGGTATACAAGCCCCTGAGAATTTGCTATATATACAAAAAAGTACCTCAAGATTTGCTGAAGCAGGAGAAACCGTAGCAATTATGCAAGTTTTTGTGCGTCCTCCAAGGGAGTCCTGCAGGATTCTAGTGAGTTTTGACTCCCTGTATGGAATATGTGGGGTTCTTTCCACAAGAGCAGTAATTACTCTTCCCAGAGTCAACAAGGACTGGTTGATATTTCCAGCTTCACGAGCTCTTTTGTCAACTGCTCCAGAACGGCCTATGTTTTCACTTCCTGCCAGGTCAACCTATAAGCAAAGCCTTGCCTAAGTCAGTAAATTGTTGTAACTCTTCAGAAATGAAAGTCTTTCCTAATATTCAAGCAGAAAAGCACACCTTGGAATTTAGGTGTCTTTCTTTGTTGCATAAATCTAAGTGCCATCTCTTTGCACCGCATATATGTACACCACCTGTTTGTATCATTTTAGCAGGTGTCACTTAGTAGAAGAGTTAGTTTTTATACCCTGCTTTTCTCTACCTTAAGGAGTTTTAAAGCGGCTTACAATTGCCTTCCACTCCTCTCCCCACAACAGGTACCTTGTGAGGCAGGTGGGGTTGAGAGAGTCCTAGAACCGCACCTGGCCAAGGGCACCCAGCAGGCTTCATGTGGAGGAGTGGGGAATCAAACCCGGTTCTCCAGTTTAGAGTCTGCCATTCTTAACCACTATACCACACTACTTCAGTCGTAACACCCAAGTAATAGTTCTGATGGTGCCATAAAGACACCATGTCTCTCCCCCCCCACTTAACTTCCCTTAATTATTCCGATGCATAATCTCTACCTATTTATAGATACCTTTACTTACCAAATTTAGCTTTCCAATTTTAACAAGCTCTTCTCCATCTATTGTTGTTTCCTTCATATGTAATGTGACTGAGAACACTGAATGGGACCGGCTGCAAGAGGAAGTGAACAGCTTGAGGTGAGTATTCCCATGACCCTTAAAAACTTGATCAGTGCTCATTTACAGTAATACAGCAGGGGTCAACTAGGCTCATCTGCTTTGAAGAAACACTTCTCTTCACTTTAATGGCAAATTCTTGTGCTCTTAGGGGTAGGAGCTGTGATTTAGACATGTAACAAGTAGGACCAATTCAAGAGAGAAAATGTTAACTGAGTGTTCACCAAATTCAAAACAAGTGATATCCTGACGCAGGCAATAGGGACATTCAAACACAAACTGCTTGGAGTAATAGCAAGGACTGGGTTTTGGCACTGAAGTCGCCAAGATTCACACCACTCCCAGCCACAGCACAGCCTCACCTTCCTAACCTTATCGGCTCATTCAGCCTCGTATGGATTGCCAGAAATACTGTGTTGCTGGCTCCAATGCTCCTGCTGGCCGCCTGTTTTAAATCTATTCTTCCACATAAGCAAGTAGAAAGCAGTTTCATAGGACAGTGACTCAAATCGTGGGGTGGGATTCCCCCCTGCCAAGTTCTTGGGCAGTATAGGATCCTGAGGCAGAGGGTGCCTTCCTCACCTACTAGAAGAATATAGATTGAAAACCTTTAGATGTGGACCCTTGCTGATCCACCTTGGATATGTGGGGATGACTGCAATCTTATTGTCACATCAACTCAATACAGTGTGTTTAGACAGGCATTCAAAAGGAGCTCAATTTCCTAACCACGACTTTAGGAGAGGGTGAGAAATATCATACTATTCTTCAAGAAGTTTGAGAAATACTGACTTCTAGTGTTGCCCATAATAAATCATGCTATAATCAGGCTTGAATAATGTTTCAAATTATTCATTGGCAAAATTATTGCATGTTGCTTTAGTCGAATATTTTAACTCCTTTTTCTGCAATTCAATCTTTCTAAGGCAGCTAACATATAATTTAGAAGAAACACACTTAATTTTAAAAAATGGTATGCCAATTCAAACAATTTCAAAATTAAGTAGCCAGCTACCTATTTATGTGATGTTGGACTAGCATCTGGGAGGCCTGGGTTCAAATCCCCGCTCTGCCATGGAAGCTTGCTGGGGGACCTTAGGCCATTCACACACTCTCAGCCTAATCTACCTCACAAGGTTGCTGTGAGGATAAAATAGAGGAGAGAATCATGTTAGCTGGGTTGGGTTCCCATTGAGGAGAAAGGTGAAATATAAATGAAGTAAATAAATATTTCCAAAAGCAGTTCCAGAGGCGGCATAGAATAACTGACACACACACACACACACACACACAAAAATAATAATTTGAGGCATGGGTGCCATCATAGAAAAGGCCCTACTACAATCCTCTGAAAGCACAGGCTTCCAGAACAGGGCATGCACATAAACATACTTTTAACCATTTTCCTGTAGATTATCATAGTTGTTTTCCAATAGCATCAAAGTACATGATTGATCTCATGAACGCAAAGTCATATTTCTTACCTAGAATACTGATTCATATTAGTAGATGCAGTGGTTCTTTTTGCTGCCCCCCTTTCTAAGATCTGATAGACCTCATCTTTGTTGTGTACAGTTATTTCTTCCAAACCCTTGATTATTACACCTCTCTGTCAAAACATAATGCTAGGTTAGATATGGCATTCAGAATTCAACCATCTTATAGACAAATCAGATTTTTACCTTGTTACGTGGATCATCAAACATCTGTAGCTTTTCACCAACATCGGGAGATGGATTCAACAGATCAAAGAGCTCCTCGTTGTAAATTTCCAACAAAGACACTTTTAGAGAAAATTCTGTCCCACTTTCTCCAAGCTTTTCAAATATTTGGTGAAGTGTACGGGGAATTACACCAGCTAGTGGATCCTATAATAACAGTGCAGAAGCACAATATACTAGCATTATTGTTTTTAAGTGTAGGAATTTAAAAGGCTAGCAGCGCATATACAAGTATTAAAGAGTGCCTAATAACTTGAATTTGTGAGCACTTTGTGATTCCATACTACACTGTTTTTATTACATTGTTTTGTAATCTTTTGTATCGTTTGGCATGCACTGTCATTTTGGGGTTCTTTGATTTTGTAACCCAATTGTGATGATTGTACTATACATATCTGCATTTTTAAAATTATGTAATGCACCTTGAGTACTAGCAAAAAGGCAGACTACATATTATGTGAATAAAGTCATCAGCAAATAATTCAAAAGGTTTAGTATTTGACTATTGACAATGCTTCGCAACAGGTGCCTCTACTCCTACCCCATTCATGCCAACCAGCCAAAAATACCAAAGAAAAGAAAACCATTCCCTGCCAGGCAGCAGGGTGTGCAGGGGAAAAATCAGCTTAGACAATTTTCTCTGTAATGGACCTTTTTTGTTGTTCTGTTTTTCTCAAAGATAGATGCATCCACAGCTAAGAAAGTATTGGCCAATTTCATTTTCAGTACACAGGGAGAGCACTGAAATGCATTGGTTTGAACAGGATAGCTCTGAAACAAGGAACTTGAAATGAAATTGAGCAAGCTTTTCTTAGCTGCAGAGCTGCACACACTCAAGAGAAACAGACAAACCCAAACCTCCCAGGAACATTTGCTGGTTGTGGTGAGAAGAGAGAACGCTGCCAGCAGTGCAAAAGCAGTACATGTAGCCCAATTTAGCTACTTTTAAGATAAACTTTTTGTCATGATCCATAGCATGACAAAGCATACATGATCAGCAGCTACCTGGCCCTTTGAAGAAATCCAAAGACAGAGTCCACTAAAAATATCAATCGATCAATTTATTGCAACAGTCAACAACGAGCAGTACAGTTTGATTAAACTTTTTAAAAAGTGGTAATAAAGATAAAATTAACATCGCAATTGATCATCCTTAGCTATAAAATCATACTGCCCTAAAGGATTTTTGATGCTTATAAACCCGAGCACAGAATTTAGCTACTTGACAAGTAGTCTGGTGATTTCTATCTAAAACACTAGGTATTTTGGACAGGTTAGTTTGCATATTGATTGCATCACTTGCACATTTGCAATACCTACGATAAGTATACACATTTAAGCTAGGCTTTCAACAAAATTCAAAATATTGTTTTTACGCTAGAGCTCCAGAAAAAAAAACAACACATTGGTTAATACTTCCACAACCTTTTCCTAGGAACACAAAGAATACACTTTACCTCTTCCCAAGTATATTCCTCATTAGGTGATCTCTCCCCTTCCATAGTAAAGGTCTTTCCTGTACCAGTTTGACCATATCTATGTAAATAAATGTAGACTGTTAGCACTAGGAACACATTTTAAAGTTGGGAGAAAATAATTAGTATTAGACTTACGCAAACACAGTACAGTTATAGCCCATAAGTACTTCATCCAAAATGGGGCACATAACACTCCGGTACACATCAATTTGTTTAGCTTGCGCTCCGAACACCTGTTGCAACAGGAAAAAGGCCCCACTGTAAATGAAGCTGAGCCTCAAGTATTTGCCATAACACTACCTCTGGGCCAGGATTAGCTGCAACTAATGATCTTCTAAATGGTCCTATTGATATTCATCTCCCAATTCTTTTGTTTGTGTTTCCCTATACATAATACATCTGTTCCCTCCACCCAGTACTGGAAAACTCTATTGTTCTGGAAGGGAGGGAATTTTTTAAAAGTATTTCCAAAAGGGGACATTGATGGCAGGCATCATTGCTTTCAAAATAAATTTGAATCGCCAGAGTAATTTTTTTCTGAAAACCATGTTCTTCCTGTAAGAGGATGCTTATGAAGTAAAGGAAACCCATCTTATATAGACCTTTCATTCTCTATAAAGTTATCACTTAAATATACGTGGCTGATTAGATTCAAATGAAACTCTTATTCCTCCTCAAATTTACTACAAAAGGATAGTAACTTGGGAGAAGAATGCTAAGATTTTATTCTTATTTACAAAGCTGTTTATGGCATTCCACATTACTATTATTACCATGTCAAACGTGTAAGTCTTCCTCGCTGTCTTATCTGCAATCCCACCAGTGCGGACAACAACTTCCTTCCTTGCATGTTCACACTCCACTACAGAATAGGAATTACCTTTGCGTTCAGACATACTGAAGGGTCTTAAGAAAGGCAACAAAAGATGCAGAGTTTCAGAAAAAAACATACATTACATAATCCACAAAACATCAAAGCAAGTATTTTTTCTTAGAGAAATGACATTGATAAAGTGAGGTATGATGATGTTTGCTAACATCTCTGTAGTTCACCAGCACGTAAAAGTTAAGTACACACTTAGGATCTACACCCCAAAAAACCCTAACTGATGTGAAGATGCACTTTGTGTTTAGGAACGAAGTAGCCACTTCTCCTGTTAGCAAATGTCATAGCTGTTTGCAAGATCCTCAGCAATAAACAGGCACTAGATGGTGCCCTGAAAGTCAATCAGAGATCAGCCAGTGGATCACAATTTACCTTCTGCCTATAACCCCAAGAATTTGTGTGTTACTCATTGGCAGTAAGGGATTTTCATCTAGACGACAATCACTTGACCTTCACAATTATTGCCAGTATGGGGTGCCAGTGTGGTGTAGCCATAAGGGTGCCACAGAATAAAATGGGACAGAAAAGTGAACACCACCCCAATTGGAACCGCAAATTAAAATGTATTAAACACGGGTGGAGGGGAAGGAATCCAGAAAACCTAACCTCAGTGTCTGCAGCCACAACCCGATGCACTCAGTTGGCAGTGAGCCCCAGCGAGGTGGGTCTGACTCACTTTCGAGTGATGCACAGGACTGGGATGCCTGCGTGCGCGCGATCTCCAGGACTATGTATGTGTGTCCGTCCCGCAAGCCCAGTCAGCGAGATCTTACCTGCATCTCACCACCACCTGGATGTTCTTGCCCTTCTCCTCCTTCTTGACAGCATTACCAAAGAACAGACTCATTGTCAGGCCAGGAGAATCGAGCCCCCAAAAGGAACGAGCCCCTCAGAAGAAAAGCGGCGCTCTGCGTCCTCCTAACGGCCGCTCCCCCCACCACAGGGGCAGTCGCTACGAGCCCGTTGACAAACCTCCCCGAAGCTCAGTCTCTGGGTTGATCTCGGCAGGGAGATCGAAGCGACTGGCGACGGAGCAAACACACACACACACACGAGGCCCCCAGTTTAAAAATAATAATAACAAAATGCGCCGAATCTTCAGCTGCTCGTCTCAGCTCTCAACAACTTTGAACGGCGCGCTCTGGCTCGTCTCAACCAATCAACGGGAAGCAGAGGCACGCAAGGCAATATGGGATCCGTCCTAGTTCAAACCTCGTGGATTACGTTAAATTCGGCGACAGTGGCGCAGTAACTGGCTGTCCGTTACAAGAGTGCAAGGCATGCTGGGAGTTGTAGTTTTTTCTTACACCTCTTCCTTGGAGGTCGGTTAGAGAAAGAGAGAGCGAAAGGACTGACCGAGTTGTCCTCAAGTGAAGCATCTTGGGACATGCTGTTGCTGTGTTAGAGACCCAAAGGTAGTTGGTGGGTATATCTGTGGGATTATTTAATTTTATTATCAATTGGAAGCGGTTGTTTTCTTGCATACGTCATTGGTTACGTACCCTGTTGTCATGAGAACGCTCCCTGACGCCCCTAACCCTGGCCGCTTTGATATGACGGACCGCAAAAAACAATTTTGAAAACAAAAGTCATGTAATCGGGTTTTTTAAAAGACCGGTCAAAACGCTGGAAAGAACCATGTGTCTACTGAAGGGGGTCGTTTGAAAAAGCAACCCCGAGGGCAAATGAAAAGGTACTTCTTAAGCACCCAAAGTAGGGTTGCCAGCCTCCAGGTGGGGCCTGGGGATCACTCCGAATTATAGCAGGTCTCCAGGCTACAGAGATCAGTTCCCCTGTAGGAAATGGCCCCTTCGGAGGGCAAACTCGATGGTATATCGCAGATTCCCCAAATTCCCCCTCCACAGGCACTCCCCCCAAATCTCCAGGAATTTCCCAGCCTGGAGTTAGCAACTGTACCGTGGAAGGTGCGACATGGGATTCTGTATGTTGATTGAAATTAAAGGTGAAAAGTTGTTTTAGGTATATATTCCAGTTATTTTATTTATTTACCTTACTTTTGAAGGCCAGTGTTACTGAATAAAAGGTGTGTTCTGGAAAAGTGATACTCACACCATGATTCATCTCTAGACCATGGGAGTTACTAAGATCCTCTTAAATTAAATTATCCAAATCCACCCTATTAGTCACATGTACATCACTACGTAGTTACATCTGTGGTCACAACTTGTGTTGTAAACACCACAGAGTCTGGAATCTGGGCTTTCTAGACCCACCATGGATTTAAGCTGTAATGATGTGGTGGAACTGTGCAACATCCAGATCTGTATGCTGGATCTAAGTTTTTGTGCTATAGCGGACCAGGAAGCATTATACCTGATTTTTTTGTAATGCAGACTTATGGCATGTATGCCAGTTCAGATGTTTTGGGGGGATGTGTATTTATATGGATCAAGTAGTCCAGGACAAATACAACAAACAGTTGGGCCCTTAGTTGTTGGGGAATTAACATAATTTCATCTGTCACCAACTCACTCCTGGAGGTTCTCCAAGACCCCTAGTTCTGTATTCTACAGCCTCACCCATCAGCATTTGTATGCCTGTCTTCACATTACAGAGCTGGTGTACATTAACATTAGCTGTTTCTTTTGCATTTCAGAGAATCTTTAAGATATATTTACTGTCAACAGATCGAGTGGCCTATTTTATATGTAAGGTGTTGGGGAAATTAGGAGTGCAGGAACCTTTTCATGGACTTCCATCCCCACTGTGTCTACTGGGGAGGAAGAGAGGCTGGCACAGATCCCAGTTGCATCAACAGAGAGAGGGAGACAGTTGTTCTAAAGCATAACTCAATTTATTCCATTACACACTCTTAATACAGAAAACACTTCGTAATATTTCGATATTGAACATAGAATATTTCAACACAAGCCCAATACATAAATAGTGCACTTGTAATTCTATAAAGGATATCCTTGGTTGCTCTGTCAAGACCCATAACGTAGGGTGGTTGGCCAGAACAACCATGAACAAAACTAAATTCAGACAGTAAGTATCTTTTTCTACCCATAGGACCTAATGTAACTGTCAGTCAAGTCTGTTGCTAAGTATCTGATGTATAACTGATATACGACAAAGATCAGCCCTTTCTTTCTATCTCTCGGGTCAGGAAAGTCAGGGTGACTCAGAGAGTGAAGGAAGCTAGTTACAGATACCCTATCTGTTTAGAATTTGATAGTGCAGAAACATTCCAAAAGGCAAAAGTCATGTAAGGCCAAAGTCATGTACACGGTTATCGGTACCAGAAGGCCAGAGCACTTAGCAGAGTCCTGAAGCCTCTTGGGAAACAGAACCAAAGATTCAACTGTACTTTACTATAGAAATTAAAGTAACATAGGTTTAACAGAGGACTGAGGCTCAATCCAGGCTCTAATTCCACAACATATGGGTGTGAGGAACAGTCCTCTGAGGCTTAGCTCGAAGCACATTAATGTGTATAGGCAGCAGCTGATGGAGCTGACCAGCTGTCAGAATGTGTAGCAGAACAGGGTGCAAAGAGGAGGCCATAGGTCAGATGCAGGATACATCAGCAGACAGAGAACTCCAAGGGTAGTAGGCAACTTGTTCCAAATGTCTACAGCTCAACCAAAGCTAGCAGCAAACACACGTTACCTGATGTACGTCAACCAAAGCTAGCAGCAAACACACGTTTTTAAAAGAACTTAAAATAATTCGAGAAGCCTCCATTTCTTTTGTCCCTCTGCCACCTCCGGTCACACAACAGGTTTTACAAGCTTCTGAAAGAAGCGTGAAGCCTGCAAAGCCTTTTGAAAAAACGAATGTGAGATTAGTATGTATAAGCAGTGAACTCTGTTTAAAACGTCCTTCAACTGACTGGAGTGGGGGAAGTCTGTTAAAGTGACGATGCTCAGGCCTGCAGCCTTGCACTCTTACTGCATTTGGTAGCAGACTTCTGGTTGGGTCTCTTGGTGCCTCAGGCAATGATTTACAAGATATAAAAACACAAACAGTAAGTGGACTCCTCAGAAGGTACCAGCTGTCATTCAGATGGGCTACATTAAAATTACTACTGAGGATGTTAATAAGTTAATGGTGAATTTGAAGAAAATTAAGCTAGAAAAGTATAGAGAACTTGAAAGAAAGATAATCTGGAAGTGGTACAGAACCCCTGCACAACTAGCATATATGATAAACGGGATGAAACCTAATCGCTGGCTCTGTAATGCAAAAGAAGGGTGGTACTCTCACTTATGGTGGGAATGCCCAAAGGTGACAGATTTTTGGGAAAAGATACGGGGAAAAATAGCAGCGCTATGTAAAGTCAACCTGAATATAGATGTAGATTTATTATTTATGGGTGTATTGGGAAACCATAGAATTGAGAAACAAAATCAGGATATTTTCAAAGTAATGTTATTAGCAGCACATGCAGTGATTGCATATGGTTGGAAGGAGAACTCAAAATGGACTTTAGAAAAATTGAACAAATATTTATACGAATATATACAATCGGACATATTGGAATGTTTAAAGCAAGATAAGATATGGACTGTAAAAATGAAGGAGATAAAAAAGAAATGGTTGGTATACTTTAAATGGGTTATAAAGGGGAAGCCAACAGGGGTATATTTGAAAAGTTGGAAAGAATGTGCTCGTGGTTGAAAATGTAATGTGAATAACATGATGGTGGCCACCTTAGGGGGGGAGGGATAAAATAGGGGAAAAGAAGTATCAAAAATTTGGAACTAAACTGTAATGTAATAACAATATTGGGATACAATAAAAATATTTTTTTTTAAAAAAAGATGGACTACATTACTAAGTTCAGGTCAGTAACTAAAGCAAGTCCCCTCTTCAGGTAGAGCTAACATTTCCATTTCGATGATGTGCAGGTTTACTGATCCCGATTCCTCTGGGTCACTGTTGGAGTTGCTACATGAGATTGATGAGAGGGCACTTAGCATATAAATTAGTGTAGGAACTCCAAGTCAATCCACAGCCTGATGGAAAAATTACTGATGTCAGTTAGGTATTTGCCTAGTATATCCAGTATAGGATTTAATGAAAGGAGGGTGTGTTTAAATGGCATGACCTAATGCACGATTTAATTTTCACCTGATCATGTAACATGAGGAACTGAGTCATCCTTTATACCAAATAAGAGAATGAAAAACAGAAGGCAACCTCTGTTTACTATATAGTCCGTACAACCCAGCATGAACCTTGTATTTGCAAATTAAACCAATACACACTTTGACAGGGTGATCGATTAAGGTCCCAGTTACAAATGCAGGGGAATGAAAGTGTAGAATTTTTACATAAATGAAAGCTCTTCTGACAGCAGATGGTGGAACCCAGCTTTGAATATTCCTTCATATAAAACATTTAATTCAAACAGAAAACTAGTGGGGTTGTGGAATTCTACCCCGTATTTTTATCTGCTGCTCTTCTTTTCTATTTCAACATGGGAAAGCATTTTATAATATCTCCTGTCTGCAGTCTGAAGTGGTTCAGTCCATTGTATTACCTCACTACCAACTCATTCTTCTGCATGCACGAACCAGACACTCAAGCAATTCCTGCTCACCACTGCATGGACCAGGCCACTCTGTAGAAAAGAAAGGTCTCAGTCTCTGCAAGGTTAGGCCAGGCCCTTTTCCGTGACATTAACAGAACAAGATGTCTTACCAGGCAAGGCATAATCGGATGTCAAAGAGGCAACTAAGATTAGAAAGCAGCCTGGGAGGTGAGGAGAGAAACCTGGTAGGATTGGTTGGTCCAAGAATCTGGGGAAAGGCTTAAAGAGTCAGTGAACTAATGATAAACTTCAGTATTGACTGGACAGAGGTTTCTGCATTTTATGAT